CCAGCATTGTCATTGAACATGTAGCAGACATGGCTTGCAACAGCTTTGTTCGGGTGATATTTCTCCACAAAACTTTGCACCTCTCTCCACTTTGCACAAATGTCCTTAATCACTGAAGAAGGCACCTTCTTCCCTCTCTCTTCCTCCTCCTCTGAAGCAATTTCCTGGCCACTCACATTCAACCCCATGGACTTCCCAAAGCCACAATAGATTCCACAACAGGAGTAGGGCTGTCAAGTGTGTGTAGGGAAGTGCCCTGACTGGTGTGCAGGGAAGTGCCCTGGCTGGTGTGTGGGGAAGTGCCCTGGTTGGAGTGCGGGGGAAGTGCCCTGGCTGGAGTGCAGGGAAGTGCCCTGGTTGGAGTGCGGGGAAGTGCCCTGGTTGGAGTGCGGGGGAAGTGCCCTGGCTGGTGTGCGGGGACATGCCCTGGCTGGTGTGTGGGGACATGCCCTGGCTGGTGTGCGGGGACATGCCCTGGCTGGTGTGCGGGGACATGCCCTGGCTGGTGTGCGGGGACATGCCCTGGCTGGTGTGCGGGGACATGCCCTGGCTGGTGTGCGGGGACGTGCCCTGGCTGGTGTGCGGGGACGTGCCCTGGCTGGTGTGCGGGGACGTGCCCTGGCTGGTGTGCGGGGACGTGCCCTGGCTGGTGTGCGGGGACGTGCCCTGGCTGGTGTGCGGGGACGTGCCCTGGCTGGTGTGCGGGGACGTGCCCTGGCTGGTGTGCGGGGACGTGCCCTGGCTGGTGTGCGGGGACGTGCCCTGGCTGGTGTGCGGGGACGTGCCCTGGCTGGTGTGCGGGGACGTGCCCTTGCTGGTGTGTGGGGACGTGCCCTGGCTGGTGTGCGGGGACGTGCCCTGGCTGGTGTGCGGGGACGTGCCCTGGCTGGTGTGCGGGGACGTGCCCTGGCTGGTGTGCGGGGACGTGCCCTGGCTGGTGTGCGGGGACGTGCCCTGGCTGGTGTGCGGGGACATGCCCTGGCTGGTGTACAGGGAAGTGCCCTGGCTGGTGTGCAAGGACGTGCCCTGGCTGGTGTGCAGGGACGTGCCCTGGCTGGTGTGCGGAGACGTGCCCTGGCTGGTGTGCGGGGACGTGCCCTGGCTGGTGTGCGGGGACGTGCCCTGGCTGGTGTGCGGGGACGTGCCCTGGCTGGTGTGCGGGGACGTGCCCTGGCTGGTGTGCGGGGACGTGCCCTGGCTGGTGTGCGGGGACGCGCCCTGGCTGGTGTGCGGGGACGTGCCCTGGCTGGTGTGTGGGGATGTGCCCTGGCTGGTGTGCAGGGAAGTGTCCTGGCTGGTGTTCGGGGAAGTGTCCTGGCTGGTGTGTGGGGAAGTGTCCTGGCTGGTGTGTGGGGAAGTGCCCTGGCTGGTGTGTGCGGGGAAGTATCCAGGCTGGAGCGTTCTTTCTGAATTTCTATTGTGTTTCTCGCCTTCTTTACCAAAGGGCTGGCACTCTGAACTTTCTTTGGCCCCATTGTGGCTTATTTCACAGTCGCAATCAACAAAAAAAAAAACTGAAACAATGGATAAAGCCATGAAGTACTGTGGACCCTCGACCAACGATGGCATCGTATAACGTTAAATCCGACTAGCGATAGATTTTAACGCAAAAATTTTGCCTCGACTACCGCTAAAAAACTTGACCGACACGATTCGTTCCGTTCGAGACGCGTCCACATGTGGCCTGCGCAGTGTTTACAAGCCAGCCACTGCAGTTGCATCCAAACATACAATCGGAACATTTCATATTATCACAGCGTTTTTAGTGATTGCACCTGCAAAATAAGTCACCATGGGCCCCAAGAAAGCTTCTAGTGCCATCCCTGTGATAAAAAGGGTGAGAATTAGTATGGAAATTAAGAAAGATTTTGAAGGGTTTGGGGCTAACCCTGAGATGCCTATGCCAGTTGTGGAATCCATTGCGCCTACTTCAAAGATTAAGGAAATGTGTGCAAAGTGGGTTGAACTGCAAACCTTTATGGATGAAAATCACCCTAACACAGCTATTGCAAGCCGTGCTGGTGACTATTACAATGACAATGTTGTGGCTCATTTTAGACAAATCGTAAAGGAACGGGAGGTACAGAGCTCTATGGACAGATATGTTGTGCGAAAGAGGTCAAGTGACTCAAGCTGGTCCTAGTGGCATTAAAAGTAGAAGGGAAGTAACCCCGGAAAAGGACTTGACACCAAGTCCTAATGGAAGGGGATTCCCCTGCTAAACGCTAACACCATCCACACTCTCCCCTCTTCCCATTCCATCAATCATCACCATCTCTTCAATAAAGGTAAGTGTCATATAATTGTACATGTCTTCTTCAGTTTGTGCGTATTAAAATTAATATTTCATGTATAAATAACAAAAAGGCACAATACCGTGACTGGAACGATACCCGGGTGTTGTGCATGTGTCTTAATTTCATCTTGTCGGTATTATATACAATTCTTGTACTACTACTACTACTACTACCTCCACCTCTTCCTGCCTATATATAGCCGTTCTGCTCCACCTCTGTTAGTGTGACTTTGTCAATGGTCCAAGTCGGACCGAAACGTCGTCGTAAGCTTCTCTCTTTTATGTGCGGGTTATTTGTGTAATATTTCATGTGGTAAATTTTTTTTTTCAATACTTTGGGGTGTCAGGAACGGATTAATTTAATTTCCATTATTTCTTATGGGGAAAATTAACTTGACTAGCGATAATTTCGACTAACAATGAGCTCTCAGGAACGGATTAATATCGTTGGTCCACTGTATTCCTAATCCAACGAGAGAGACGTGCAGACCGAGTGTGATACCCATGAGAAAGACTATCACTGGTCAGTGGTGATGCATCTCATACGGCCTATATCCAGGAGCACGGCTGATATCAGGAGCAAAATTTCACCAATAAAAGTGCTCAATTTCCGAATTGGCCGATTTCCGTGACTGCCTATAACCAAGGTTCCACTGTACTTCATTATCAGGAATCTCTGTTTCCTTTGCTCTAAGATTACAGTGCTAGGTATTTTCGAAAGTTCAAGTATTTTAAATGCTTTATTATTCAGAGAAACTGGTTAGCTGGACTTGAGTCCTGGAGTGACAGTTAAAATGTTTTTTTCTTTGCAGTCACCCTACCTTGGTGGTAGACGGCCAGTGTAAAACAAAAATTATTTCTCCCTCCTTGAATGGAGCTGTCAATACCGAACAATATTCTAAATTAGAGAGCACTGGTGACAAACAGTCCCCCCACTGGAGCTATTTCTCTTGTTTTGAAAGTTCACACTATTCACCATGTCATTTTTTTTTTTTACTTTAGCAACATTTGCCTTAGTGTTCTCTAAAAAGTCACCTGATACTGTTACATATATCGAAATCTTTGACATTTTTCTATTGGTCTATGTGATGGTTCTCCTATTTTGTAATCTATCGCAAGTGAACATCTCATTATATTCCTCTGCCAACTGCAAGATTGCATCTGATATATAGTTTTTTTTTTTTTTAACACACAGGACATCTCCTTCCGAGGTAGGGCGACTCAAAAAATAGAAAACATATCAATCATTACTCAATAGTTGTCTTATCAGACATTTGCAGAGATAGTAATTCAAACAACACTCTGAACTGCAAGACTACTACCCATACTTCAGAGAGAAAGCACTGTACTTTCCCTCCATGGCTCAAGTTCAGATAACTGGTTTTCCTGACTCCCATCATCAATGTTATCTTGCTCACATTCCAACAGTACATCATGTGATAAAAACTCCTCTTCCACATTCATTCTGATCTAAGACAAGTCTGCTGAATGCTGATGCTCCTATCACTTTAAAGCCTCCTTTAACCCTCCCTTTAACCCTTCCTGAGACCTCATCCCCACCTTCCAAACCAGGTTTATACACCCTCTTATTCATCCAATTCTGCTCCATCTCTCCTTAATACCCAAACCACCTCAACTTCTCCTTCTCAGCCTCTGAATTATACCTTTGGTAACTCCATGTTCTAATTTCTACATTCAAAATTCCATGCATATGGTATTTATACCACACAATGCTCTCAAATGTTAAATCTTTGCCTCCAGCCTCCTCCCTGATGCAAGATTTAAAGTCCATGCTATACACCTACATAGAAGTGTTGGTACCACTATATCCTGCTACATTTTCCCCATAGTCAGTCTTCATGTTTTCATTCTTTCCACATATGCCTCAACACATCACTTACCTTTTTCCCCCTTGTCTACTGTCTGGTTCACTCATCTTTCATGGACCCATCTGATGACATGTCCACTCCCAAATATCTGAATACATGTATATTCACTTCCTCCATACTCCTCCTTCCAATCTATTAATTTTTCACTGCCTATTCTTTTCGTAGCCCTCATCATCTTTCTCTTTCCTACATTTGCTTTAAATTTCCTTCATTACATACTGTCCCAAATTCCTCCATCTACTTGCAATTTTTCCGTCTTTTTACAGAAGCATCTTACATGCTTACTTTAGTATCATCTGCAAGGATGATACAAAACTATGGTTATACCTATGTCTGCTATGAGAATGAGACCACACCTGTTTCATGGAGAAGTGCTAAACCTGTAGGAGGTCATACAGCACCAGAGAAATGAGAGGCAATTAGATTCAATCCAAGTGAGGGAAAAAGTTCTAATTCTTTGGTTCAAGAGCCCTCTACTGCATCAAAGCACATCCCTCAAGGCTACTGCAGATTGGGAGAGAGACTGCACAAGCCAAAGGTGTGCTGCCCACCTCAAGACTACTACAGATGGTAGGAGGAACTGTGTACTACCCAGCTCAAGGCTATTACAGTTGGTGGATGACGGGTGAATACAAGAACTGTACAGTAAGTTAACCATTGAACAAATATATTAATTAACCAATAGACTTTTGAACAATACACAAAATGTTAGTAAATATTTAACAAATTTTTCATACTTACCAGGTTAACAACTGCATGTGAAATATAGAAATATACATGTATATATACGTACACATATATGGGCAAAGACTCACCCTACGACGTCTGCGATCTGTCCGTCGTATGTGGTGCCATAGAACCATCAGCATCTGCGTGTCCAATCCAGTGAATTCTTCATAGCGCTCCTTATGACGCTTCCTCAAATTTGATTTTACAGTCTGAAAGATGTAAGACTTTTTAATAAAAACAATAACACAAAGTGATTTTCAAAGGGATTTTCTTTCTTTTTTGGGTCACCCTGCCTCGGTGGGAGACGGCCGACTTGTTGGGGGGGGGGGGGAAATAGCAAGACAATTACCTTAAAGCTTTCCAACCACAACAAAAATTAACCCTTAGGTGTCACCCTAGGAGAAACTGTCAAAAATCTAAAATGTGAAAAATTCCATAGCATACAGGATAAAGTTTCAAAATATTTTATACACGAATAGAATATGGTATTAATATACCAAAATACATGTAATTGTCTAATTTAGAAATCTAAATGTAAAACTTTCATGAAAACTGCTTCAGGACTAACTACTTTAAAAGTCAGAATATATAGTTATGTAAAAGGCAAAGCAGTACTGCCATCTATAAATGGAACTATTTCACAAATTTTTGGAGAAAAAAAAAAAGTGAGCGATGTCATATTACATACTTAACCCCTTGACTGTCGCAACCCCAAATGCTGAGGTGTCTCCTGGTGTCGCAAAACTTTTGAAAAAAAAAAAAAAAAAAAAAAAAAACTCTTATGAAATGATAGAGAATCTTTTCCCGATTGTAACGACACCAAAAGAACGAAATTTGATGGAAAACTGATGGAATTATGCTCTCACAAAGTTAGCAACCTCGGTGATATTTACAAATCGGTGATTTCCCACTTTGAGCCCTATTTTTGGCTAATTCCATTGTTCCAGTCAACCAAATTCATAGCCATTTCTTTAGAACTCCATATTTTCTATCAATTGAGTACAAGAAACTGCCCATTTACCAATTTCAACTACCCAATAACGTGGTCAGAAATTTGTGATTTGGCCAATTACACGAAAATTAAAAAATATGACAATTTCAAAATAGGGCCCAGAATGAACAATGCAGACATTCCTGGCTCTAAAATAACATTTTCTTTGTTCATCAGTCACGTCTCCAGGCCCCTCTGATATTACTCTTGCTTTCTATTTTGAATTTTTGTTATAACAAAAAATAGAAGATTTACTGTTATGCAGACTACTGCAATATTGTAATAATTGTATAAATAATGTCAACCCATTCATGACTGCATATTAGAATGGCTACTTGGACATTTATTGGAAAATGACATCATTTGTTTACTTTTGAACATCGCCAAAAATCAAACATTTCCCCTACTTTGAGCTCCATTTCAAGGTTCTTTTCATAGTAAAACCAATCAAAATCACCTCTATTTCTATACAGTGGACCCCCGCTTAACGATCACCTCCAAATGCGACCAATTATGTAAGTGTATTTATGTAAGTGCGTTTGTATGTGTATGTTTGGGAGTCTGAAATGGACTAATCTACTTCACAATATTCCTTATGGGAAAAAATTCGGTCAGTACTGGCACCTGAACATACTACTGGAATGAAAAAAGTTCGTTAACCGGGGGTCCACTGTAATATGTTTTTCATTCTATCAAATGAGACCAAGAAAACGAGAATACAGTGGACCCTAGACCAACGCTGGCATCGTCTAATGTTAAATCCGACTAGCAATACATTTTAACGCAAAAATTTTGCCTCGACTAGCGCTAAAAAACTCGACCAACGCAATTCGTTCCGTCCCAGACGCGTCTATGGTCCCATGGTCCCATCCAAACATACAATCGGAACATTTCATATTATCACAGCGTTTGTAGTGATTGCACCTGCAAAATATGTCACCATGGGCCCCAAGAAAGCTTCTAGTGCTAACCCTACAGCAAAAAGGGTGAGAATTACTATGGATATGAAGAAAGAGATCACTGCTAAGTATGAAAGTGGAGTGCGTGTCTCCGAGCTAGCCAGGTTGTACACAAAACCCCAATCAACCATCGCTACTATTTTTTTTTTTTCAACAAGTCGGCCGTCTCCCACCGAGGCAGGGTGACCCAAAAAAGAAAGAAAATCCCCAAAAAGAAAATACTTTCATCATCATTCAACACTTTCACCACACTCACACATTATCACTGCTTTTGCAGAGGTGCTCAGAATACAACAGTTTAGAAGCATATACGTATAAAGATACACAACATATCCCTCCAAACTGCCAATATCCCAAACCCCTCCTTTAAAGTGCAGGCATTGTACTTCCCATTTCCAGGACTCAAGTCCGACTATATGAAAATAACCGGTTTCCCTGAATCCCTTCACTAAATATTACCCTGCTCACACTCCAACAGATCGTCAGGTCCCAAGTATCATTCGTCTCCATTCACTCCTATCTAACACGCTCATGCACGCTTGCTGGAAATCCAAGCCCCTTGCCTACAAAACCTTCTTTACCCCCTCTTTCCAACCCTTTTGAGGACGACCCCTACCCCTCCTTCTTTCCCCTATAGATTTATATGCTTTTCATGTCATTCTACTTTGATCCATTCTCTCTAAATGACCAAACCACCTCAACAACCCCTCTTCTGCCCTCTGACTAATGCTTTTATTAACTCCACACCTTCTCCTAATTTCCACACTCCGAATTTTCTGCATAATATTTACACCACACATTGCCCTTAGACAGGACATCTCCACTGCCTCCAACCGTCTCCTCGCTGCTGCATTTACCACCCAAGCTTCACATCCATGTAAGAGTGTTGGTACTACTATACTTTCATACATTCCCTGCTTTGCCTCCATAGATAACGTTTTTTGACTCCACATATACCTCAACACACCACTCACCTTTTTTCCCTCATCAATTCTATGATTAACCTCATCCTTCACAAACCCATCCGCCGACACGTCAACTCCCAAGTATCTGAAAACATTCACTTCTTCCATCATGTACTAGCCTCGTGTCAGGACCTGGGGTTGATAATCTCTACTGATAAAACAAAGATACTCAATAGGCGTCCTCCTCGACAGAGAGGCACAGTTCGTCAGATCCAATTGCATGATGGGTCTCTTCTAGAATATGTAAGCAGATACAGGTATCTAGGCTTTGAGGTTCCACTACTTGGACCTGTTGTAACAAGACTTTGTCGCCAATACAAAGAACGACTAAGAGCACTTAGAGTTGTGGCAGGGCTTCACCCCAGGTATGGTGCTAATGTTAAAATTGTGAAAATGATGTATCTTGCTTATATTAGATCATTGGTTGATTATGCTGCGCCACTACTTGCTCTTGTGTCTGACTGGAAGCTTGGAGGGCTGGAAAAACTGCAGAACGAAGCAATGAGGATCATCCTAGGATGCTTTCGTACTGCCAAAATTTTAAATATGCAAAAAGAACTTGATATTCCAAGCATCAGAGATCGTGTTACTGAAAGAAATATCCTAATTGGGGTTAATATGCTCAGGCAAGCCCATTCAAACCCCTGCACAGAAGCCCTCCAAACTTTCCTCAGCACTGGTGAACACTCCTCCAGATGGATCGAAAAAACTGGAACCGACCTCCGCATGAATCAGATACATGATCTATGTCAAGTAAGCCAACAGCGGCACTTCTCTGCTCCATGGAATATTACCCCATTCCAAACTACCATTCCTCCATTTCCCCCCAAACTACTTCTTAAATCACAACCAAAACTTCGCCTTGAAGCCAAACATGAGGCCTTAAGCTGTATTGATAACTTAGTCACACAGCACACACTCTCGCAAATTATTTACGTTGATGGTTCTGTTCACCAATCCACTGGTGCAGCTGGTAGTGCTGCTGTTGTCGTACAGAGTGATGGCTCTCTTAAAGAAATTGGAGCACGCATCAATAATTGGGCCTCTACCCTTCAGACAGAACTGTTTGCCATACTCCTTGCACTGAAATGCATCAATGTATCAAAGATTGACAGTTTAATTGTAACTGATTCTCTGTCATCCATAAATGCTCTCAACTCATTAAGCATAAATTGTGGCATGCTTGTGTCAGAAGCCAGACACAGGTATGGTAGGATTGTGGACAGTGGAGTCAGAGTGCACATGCTGTGGATTCCATCTCACATTGGTCTTCAGATGCATGATAGAACTGATAAATTGGCTAAGCTGTATGCTTTCAAAGAGGGAGTAGATTACAATCTTGGCTTGTCAGGTAGTAGTTTGAGAACAATAATACGAAAAGAACTTCAGCTGAATTTTATGGACTTAAGGCACAGGGAGATTGACACCAGTGAGTCCATCTATCATCATTCTATCATGCAGGAGGAGCCACATGTCTATGGTGCATCCAACAAAATAAGCAGACTCTTGGATGTCACTACCGCCCGGCTCCGGCTGGGTTACAAGTATCTTTGGCAGGTTAAATCACCACCACCAGATGTAGACCAAACGAAATGTAAACTTTGCCAGATGGATTATTGTCACACCCTGCGTCATTATGTACTGGAGTGCGATAAAATTAATGAATTTAGAAACAACTCACTCAGAAGTGTTCAAGAAATGGCTAAGTATTTTATCCACAGTGGTATATTACAGACCATTCTGGAGAAATACCCTGACTTTGCTAGCTGTAAATAAAGCATTACCACACATGTGCATGTGTGTGTGTGTGTGTGTGTGTGTGTGTGTGTGTGTGTGTGTGTGTGTGTGTGTGTGTGTGTGTGTGTGTGTGTGTGTGGTGTGTGTGTGTGTGTATGTGTGTGTGGTGTGTGTGTGTGAGTATGAGTGTGTGTGAGTATGAGTGTGTGTGTGTATGAGTGTGTGTGCATGTGTGTGAGTTTGTGTGTGTGTGTGTGTGTGTGTGTGTGTGTGTGTGTGTGTGTGTGTGTGTGTGTGTGTGTGTGTGTGTGTGTTTATGTGTGTGTGTGTTTATGTGTGTGTGTGTGTGTGTGTGTGTGTGTGTGTGTGTGTGTGTGTGTGTGTGTGTGTGTGTGTGTGTGTGTGTGTGTGTGTTTATGTGTGTGTGTGTATGAATTTGTGTGTGTGTGTATGAATTTGTGTGTGTGTGTGTGTGTGTGTGTGTGTGTGTGTGTGTGTGTGTGTGTGTGTGTGTATTGTGTGTGTGTTTATTGTGTGTGTGTGTGTGTGTGTGTGTG